CGGTTTTATTGCCATATTTCAGACGTAGATCCACTTTTATAAAAAGTTTCAGCTTATCGCTGCTGATGTTATTTTCAGTTTAATTAAAGTCTAAATATGAAAAGCGTTTTTTATTTTATTTTTCCTATTGGGAAAATGCAGTGAATTAGTTTTCATCAGCAGTTGTCGAGAATGTTTCAGGAATGACAAGAATGAGGTGAAAACAAACGGCATATTTAAAAACTTCTCTTGTTTGTTGAATAAGTTGGGAGCAAGTTTTCTGGTTAATTTAAGTTTTGTGTTGGAAACAGTTGGATATCGTTAATAAATATAGATGTTCCAACTCTCGGGTATGACACTCAAGTTTAAAATTGGGTCTATGAATAGCTCAACTTCAAAATTCTCATTAGTACACAATTCCGGAGCTTAATTAATTTATGTCCGAAAGCGCTCAAGTGCTTGCACTTGTATTGAAACTATACGCTTTATTTTCCATTTTACTTATCGCTTTTATGTGCTTTCGAAGAACAAAAACCATTCAACCGATCGCTTCCTATCTCCCAAAATTATTCGTTTAATTCACTAAAGCGCATTCTGAATATAATATTGGAAAATCGGCTCAATATCGGAGGTTCTAATGACGCTTCTACTCACAATCACTGCCCATAATTTAACTACCATCACGTTAACGCCTTTTCGCCTTTATGACATTAAACAGGTACGAGCTGAAATATTGGCTGCAATTTACGAAAATTGACGGCGATTGTGTTAAAAACAAACATTTTACGCATCTCAAATTCTCTATTTTCAGGTAATTACAATTTTTATGGTGGATTTTATTACATCTTGATTTCAGTCGTTAAAATTTTTAAGCGCTTGAGATCTACACAAGATTTGATTAAATTACTTCAACGGAAATATGCAAGTGATTATGCAATTTAGAACTTTGCAGCGCGAATTTCGTTCACTACAAACGATTATTGTGCATCGGAAAGCGTTTTGTAGTTGACCTCAAAAAAGAAAATAAACAGCAAAATTAATTATAGCAGTTGTGCTATTACTTGAAAGGAGGATTTTTATTTCGTTCACAATCACTAGTAATTTTCCGATTCTTAACTTCTTTTGAAGTCGGGAAATATGTAATTGCATCCCTTGGTCGGAAAGTAATTTATGTACCAACGTTACGAGCCCATCAAATGCCAAAAACGCAATATGCTTGCATAGTGAGTGATCGTTCAAAAATAGGATATGCAACCAAACATATTATTAAGTTAAAAAAATTGAATTCAAAAAAATAAATACTAATACAAAAAATGTTTTTTATTAAGGATAAAATAAATAAAATATACAGGCTGCGCCAGAACTCGCGCCCCAGAGCAAAAAGCCATATAAGGTAAGATACCAAGAACATGGAAAAAATGTTAAAAAAATTTTATCTATAAAAATTTCGAAGTTATGAGGGTTTAAAGTTTGCACTTTGACTCTATTTATTTCTGTTGGAAAAATAATTTTTCAAGTTTTTATGCTATAGGTTATTAAAAGAGGAAACCAGGAAGCTGTATCTTAAATTGTAAATCTGCTCAATGTTATTTGTGGCTTGTATTAGCAAAATTTTTGTCCCTTTACTAAAAAAAAAAAAACATATTCAAGACAATCAGTATCATTAAATAGATATAAAAAAATGTCAAATGTCAAAATTTTTTGACAGATAGAATTTTTTAAACATTTTTTCCATGTTCCTGGTATCTTATCTCACTTGAAAATTTTCTCTGGGGCGCGAGTTCTGGCGCACCCTGTATACATAGATAAAAAAATATAAAATTAATCTGTTAAAACTATGATATACATTTTAATTTATAATTTTTGTCATTTTTTTGAATTTATCAGAAATTTTCTCAATAATTATTTATTATTGAGCACTGATCTTTTTTGTATATGATAGAAGATTAAATTTTCATTTCAACGGTACCAAACATAAGAGATTATCACTAATAAGTCCGGAGTTATAGACCGCTCCGGGTGCCAAAAATCGACCAAAATCTCGACAAAAATCCAAAAAATTTTCAACTTAAAAATTGTTCTGTTTAACGTTTTTTTCATTTCAGAGGTCTTAAAGACTGAAATAAGTGCATAAAATGCCATTGGATCAAGTTTAAAAAATTTAGAATTTTTTGAATTGTTGAAGATGAGCGGTAGTAAAATCGTAAAAATAGTCAATTTTAGCTTAAGTTGTAAAAACGGTTGAAATATGATTTTCTAGACGTAAAATTACGCGCTAAACACGATGCAACAAGTTAAAATACTCTACGATGCATAGTTTTTGAAATTTTTTATTTTTTTTTAAACTAAAAATGGCTCTGTAGCTGGAACCATAACCCGGAGCGAGTTTTGGTTTGTGTCATTAAATAGATGCTTTGAAGCAAATTTTAATGGTTTTTAGCTTTTTGCTCTAAGTCTTATAGTTTCGTACAAAAACGCGTTAACAAATTTTTATTTTTTTTATTTTGTAAATTGCAAAAGAAAGGTAGTTCAATGATATAATATTTTAAACCAGACTTATGTTTTTACATTACTGTTCTGCAAAATCAATTGGCGTCAAAAAAACTGCAAAATTTGTAATAGTTTTGAAGTTGTAGTCGATTTTATATTTTTGATATTTTTGACTATATAAGAAATTTTCTCGATAATTTTTTATCATAGAGCACTAATCTTTTTTGTAGGTATATGATAAAAAAGTAAATTTTCTTTCCAACGGTACCAAACATAAAAAGTTATTACCAATAAGTCCGGAGTTATTGGCAATAGACCGCTCCGGGTGACAAAAATCGACCAAAACCTCAAGTTTAAAAAATTACGAACTTTTTGGGTTTTTGAAGGTCAAATGCAAAAATTTTAATTGTACTTACTATATTTTTTTGAATTTACTGTTTCATACAAAAATATAAAACTACAATTTGTCTAGTATATGAAAATTTTTTTTCCTCTCCAACACTCCTAAATTATCTATTTTTTTAGATCCATGCTTGAAAGTTAAATTTAATTTTAATTTTAAAAATTTTGCTTTAAACGATAAAAAACGCGTAATTACGAATACTATTTGCAAGTTAAGTTATTTTACCGGCGCATCCACCATTTTTGCTAATTAATGTAAATATACGTGAAAGTTTATTTGCCTATTTCAGAGTTCCTCTTTTAGATTTAGGGTTTATATTGGGTCGCTGCGTTATTATAACGTCAATTGCTAAGTTTATATTCAGTTAGCATGTCCAGTGTTAAAGTCCCTTATGAAAACCAAAGTGGAAGTGTAAATATAACCGCCCAATTTATTCAAGATAACCCGATTTGTTGCTTTTTTCCAAACATTTGTTTAATCTAGAGCGGATTATGGCTGTTCAGGAACTCACCACACTTTTGTTTGTCTCTAGCCCTTATTAAGTTTCACAATATTTTAATTAATATTACTTGTAGTTGAAATTCAGTAGTTAGTGCAGTCCAAATTTGATTAGCCTTATATTTACCCCGTTAGCAGTTTGAGTTTTGCAACAGCTGAACGAATAATAAATGAGGTTGGTCGGTGGAAATTACTGAAACGTCCATTCTACTATTTAGCTGAATACGTCATTGTGTTAAGTGAAACTGAGTGGAATGTTTGGCGATGAGATCGATCTCGGTAAAAGGACGACCTTTGGCCCTCAGTTTAATGCAGACACCGCGAACTACAACTGAAATTCCCCGAAACATGCTGAAATATTTATAGCTGCTTTTAAAATTGCCCACTCCAAACCTTGTCTTTAACTTTATGACTCAATTAATAATTTATTAACGTCGTTGGAAGAAGATAATAAAATTTGCGTTCGCGACAAAATTGTCTTTGGAAAATAATTACAACCTTAATTTAAGCTGCCAACGAAAATGAAAGATGTCAGGACACTTTAGGAAATGATTTTGAACGATATGTAGGAAGAATTAAGTATTTGTCTCACATTTGCATGTGAAAGAAACTTTCAAGACTTTCACCGTTTTGAATTTAAAATTACGGAAATTGAAATAAAACTGAAAATAGAAGATAAAAATGCTAATGTAGGAAACACAAAAGTTTTGTTTTTGTATCTTATCTCGCGTGATGGAAATTTTACGTTGCAGGAACGTCGCAAAAGCTCATTTCAGTCAAGACTGCTTCATGTAAATGTTTCTAATTTGATAACGTATCACTGTTTCAGATTTTCTTACCACTCATTTGACTAAAAGTGAAATAAATTATTTGTAGAGAACTGAAGTATTCTTATGGGACAGTTATGGTTCGTTAATTTTAACAAATACGAGACAAAAAACAACGTCGTTTTTCTCCTGTCTCCGGTGATAAATAACAATAACTGTTTTAGATTTATTAGTCTATTTCCTAAAATTAGATTTGAGTTAATTAAAAAGTATTCTGAAAACGATATTTTGGAACAGATTGTTCCATAATTCAACCAAAACTAATTTTTTAGTTTATTTTTTAGGATATGTTACATTAATGAGAGAATTGAATTTATTCAGTATTCAGAATTAAAACCAAAATAAGTAATTTGATAATTTATCGTCAAAAAAAACTCTTTTTGTATACGCTCCCAAAGATAGCTATTTTGCGAACTCAGTAAAACTGTAACTTGTAACAAAATAAGTGCATCATACAGTGTTTTATAAAAAAATAAAAAAAATAAAAATGCCAAGTGAAAAAAGATACCAGGAACATGAAAAAAATGTTAAAAAATTTTTATCAATAAGAATTATGAAAAAACAAACCTATACAAGATTATCAATAACAATAAAAAAATGTCAAATGTCAAAAAATGAATGTCAAAAATTTTTGCCAGAGAGAATTTTTCTTAATGTTCCTGGTATCTAATCTTACTTGGCATTTTTCTTTTTTGTGTTTTTATAAAACACCCTGTATACTGCAAAAACTAAACTAAAAATTTGTACAAAGTTTGAAAGCTAATTTTATTTGTGTTAATTAATATTAATAACATTTTTTTTAGGAAAAGGCTTTGGAGGGCTACTGCAAGAAGGTGCACCAGTTTTGTCCTCCGGGCCGTCCGGGACCTACAGGACCACCAGGAAGTCAAGGCCCTAAGGGCGACAGAGGCGACAAAGGATTTCCTGGAGTCCCGGGACAAATGGGTCATCGCGGTTTACCAGGCCTTCCGGGAGAAAAAGGAGCACAAGGTCGTCCCGGATTAGACGGGAGAGATGGTATTCCGGGCGAGCCAGGCTTAGATGGTATGCCCGGACGCAACGGTTACGATGGTGTTCCTGGTGTCAATGGGAGACCGGGGTTGCCGGGCAGAGATGGGCGCAATGGAACTGATGGTAATTTTCCTTTAGTATTTTTTCGCACTTGATTATTTTTGTTTCAGGACTCCCCGGGTTGCCAGGCCCTCAAGGACCCCCGGGTCCCCCCGGACCCAAAGGTAATTACTTCCATTATTAACATTTTGTTAATTGAAATCTTTATGTGTTAGATTATCGTAATAATTTAGCATGATCCCGAGCCATTTTGTGTAAATTGCTGGAACCTAAACATTTGTCGAGTAAATTTATGCATAGCTTCCGGTTTAGTTAAGTAGGATCGTGTAGAGATATATTAGATGGCCCATTAGCGTTCGTTAGGAAAATTGAAGTGCTTAGTTTTATTTTGTTTTCAGGACTTACGGGCCCTAAAGGGAAGCCCGGAAGACACGGCCGAGACGGAGATCCGGGAAAACCGGGAGGGACGTTTTATCAAATCAACGGAAAAAATGTCTCCGAATTGCTAATACCGCCCTCGATTGCAGGTAAGAAAACAACAATTTATTCGAAATCAATATGCTTTCACTCAACACTTGACGCAGGTATTTAGTTTCCTCGTCTATAGTTTTATCCTATTAGAATAATGAAATGCACCCCATGCCATGTTAAGATATTTTATTTCAAAGGTAGCTCAGGTAACTGAAACTAACAGTGGATTTATATCGACGTGTCGGCAATTTATTCAAAAATGTAGCAAGAGAACTCTCAAATTTATCAAAGTTGAAGATTTAGGTGTTTCAAATTAAAAAAAAAAATCGTGTTTTACTAAGTATTCTAAGAATTGTAACTCAATAAGGCATGGATTATATGCAAAATGCATATTTGTTATTAAGGGGTATGTCAACAAAATTGTAAGTTTTCTATGCATATCTAAGGTTTTTTGTTTAAAATAAGCCTAATAAAAAAATGCATATTTTGCATATTTTAGCAACTTCGTGCATATTTTAGGAAATAATGCATATTTGTGCAAAAAATGGACAGTTTAAAAAAATAGATCCGATTACAAAATATGTTAAAGAGAAAACAACAGGTAATTCGTAAGCCGGACTTAAAGAAGTAGTATCCTGCTGAGTGTTTCTTTTTTAAATTCGTTTTATACAGGGTGAATATAAAGTATGAAACAAAGCGGTTTTTTTTTTAATCATTTGCCTCCAGAAAATAATAATTTAATATAAATTAATAAAATATAAAAAATGTGATAGTATTTTGAAAACGAAATTTTGTTTTGTTTTGCGATTTTTTGTCAAAATTGCAATTTATGTAAAAAAAAATTTTGAAAAAATGTAATATACAAGATGTCCCCGGTTTATAAGAGGAAAAAAAATATCTTTGATTTTACAAACGAACAACACTTTTTGCTTGACCTGAAACGAGCAAATCTGTAATTAAAACTTCATTATTCTGACTCAGTGGAAAGAAAAGTTCATTTTTCTCTTGATTTTGGACTTGATTTTTCTCTGCTTTTCAAATCTCATTACATTGACGATTTTATTTTTTTGACAACGATGTTAAAATTAATTAATTAATTGAATAATGATTGTTTTTGTTTGTATTTTTCATCTTTTTTTTATCATTTTTCTCTGCATTTTAAGTCCTATCACATTGGCGGTTTTATTATTTTGACAATGATGTCACTTTGACAAATAAGTTTACTCAAGATAAATAACAAAAATGTTTGTGAAAAAGATAATTTTTATAAATAGCAACTGAAAGAAACTTGAAAATAAAAACCAAAGTAATTTTTAACAAGAACTATTATATACAGGGTGTTTACGGTCTTGGAGCTGAAAATTGACCTAGTAATAGAACAGTACAGAAATACTGTAACCGAGAAAAAAAACTCAGGCAATTGTTATTATTAAGAATGTTATTTAACTCCAAAATATTGGTACACGGTTTGAGGGTCACTGGAATTTATTTCTTTGGTCTGATAAAATTCGTATCCATGACAATAAAAGAAAAAAATCACTTTATAGTTTTGACACTGTCATCATTTGATTTGCTTTTGTACGCGAATTTTTGTTTTAGGTAGCGTATTAGTTTTCTTCTACCGTGAATATCATCTCATTTAAATTTTAACCTCAAGACCGTAAAGTAGTTCAAATAAATAAAACCGCCAATATGATAGGACTTAAAAAGCAGAGAAAAATTAAGACAAAAATCAAGAGAAAAATTAACTTTTCAGGTAGAGCAAAAAATGTTTTTTTTGCAGTTTTGGCGTAAAAACAAAGATATAATTTTTTTCTTTTGTGAACTCAATCCAAAGACCTACTCATAGTCCGGTCAAATTAGTCATAAAAATAGTGGTCAAATAACAAAAATTCCGACAGAGCTAAATTTTGGTGGAGACCTTGGGTACACCATTAGCAATAAAGTGTCAAAAGTCCCCATCGATCCCATGTATGCTAAAAAAGTTCTTCGGGGTCAAAGGTCAAAATTTGATGTTTTTTAGATTTATTTTTAAAACGGTAAGTTTTATCAAAAAAGTAGTCCAGACAAAAAAGATAGACCTTAAAATTATCTACAAAAAAGGTCCTAATACTTTTTTTCTAAGAATCACCATTGCTGAGATATCGCGATTTTAAAAGTTGAAAGAGTCACTTTCTATATGATATGCACATACATAGTGCGCCAGAACTCGGCCCCCAAAAAAAAATGCCATGTAGGGTAAGGTACCAGGAACATGGAAAAAATTTTAAAAAAGTTCTATTTATAAAAATTTCGAAGTTATGAGAGTTTAAATTTTAAACTTTG